CAAAAAAAAAGAATAAAGAAGGAAAAACTAACAGGAGGCTCGTTACTGTTGATTAATTTTGTCAGGAGACTAAGCGAGTATTTTGTTTTTGTACTGAAATTAGAATATATCAAAAATATTAGACATTGTGTTTGTCTTACTGTAATGATGTAATCATCTGTCACAAAAGAGCTTCTGTGGATGACATGTCACAAATCCAAGGCCAAAAGAACAAGAAACCAGAGCTGTGTGAATTAGGCTGTTTTACTGCTCCTTCCTTGATGTTTTCTCTCCTCTTTCCCCTCATTCTTTCCTCATCTTAGTCCTCAGTTCTCATGTCTCCTATCATAACCTCTTGCTATTCTGTGACTTCTGTCAGTTTTCCAAATACAAAAGTACTTTCACACAGGACTGGTCCCAGGCAGCAGTCCTCTGCAGCCCCAGCTCTGGAAATGCTTCTGGTGGCCATGGCCTCTAAAGGCCTCCTTCAAACCTTCATGTGCTCCTTGTTGAGTAACTGTTCCTACATTGCTTTTTACTTGATGGTCTATTTGAATTATTCCACAGCTGGTACAAAGCGAATTACAGCATGGCTGAGAAGTTAGACTGGGGCCGAGGAATGGGTTGTGACTTTGTCAAGAAGAGCTGTAAGTTCTGGATTGATCAGCAGAGACAAAAGTAAGAATGCTTTTCCTCACAGTGTCTTTGATTACACAGTTTATTTCTGATTTTATTTATTATCCTAAAACTAAAATGCCAACTAGTTTCAAAATATGGTCTGAGCAATTAAATTTCAAAATGTATAAAAAATTTCTACTGGTACTTTGTAATGGTATCATAGTAATTCCCCTCAAGTTTACATATACTGAAAGACCCACAGTGTGGTGCCAGAACCACAAACATTTTGTTTATGCAAAATTTTGCATACTCTTACCATTCTTAATGTTTTCTTCAGGGAACACACATATAACTATACATACAAATGTGGATTTCCTATCAAAAAATCACACTGGAAGTAGGGGCCAGTGCCTCACACCTATAATCCTAGGTACTTGGGAGACTTAAGATCTGAGGATGGAGATCCACAGCCAGCCCAAGCAGACAAATGAAAGATTCTTATCTCCACTTAACTAGCAAAATCCCAGAAGTAGAGGCATGAGTCAACTGGAAGAACACCAGCCTTGAGCAAAAGAGACAAGTTAGAGTATGAAGCTCTGAGTTCAAACCCCAGTAATGGCTGAATAAAAGTAGCTCAGGGGTAAAGTGCTTGCCTAGTATGTGTAAGGTCCTTTTTTCACCCCAGAACTGAAAACAAACATTTTTGTATAGGGGTTCTCAAAACTGGATGCATACCATAATCATGTAAAAAAAAATTACATTGGGCTCTAGGCATAGTTCAAGTAGTTATCCCTGAGTTCAAACCTCAGTCCCCCCAAAACAAAGAAAATACAGAGGGTTCATGTTTGGAATGTATAAATGCACATACATTACCCACACTTTTTGTTTGTTTGTTTTTTGCAACTCCTGGGGCTTGAACTCAGGGCCTAGACACTATCCCCGGGCTTCTTTTGCTCAAAGCTAGAACTCTGCCACTTGAGCCACAGTGCCATGTCTGGTTGTTTCTGTGTATGTGGTACTGAGAAATTGAACCCAGGGCATCATGCATGCTAGACAAGCTCTTTACCACTAAGCCACCTTCCAAGCCCTTTTTTTTTTCTTAGTCAGTCATGGGGCTTGAACTCAGGGCCTGGGTACTATCCGAGAGTTTTTTTCTTTTTTTTTTTTTTCTTTTGGCCGGTCATGGGGCCTGAACTCTGGGCCTGGGCGCTGTCCCTCAGCTCTTCAGCTCAAGGCAAGCGCTCTTCCACTGAGCCACCTTCCCAGCCCCTGTCCGAGAGTTTTTGCTCAAGACCTAGTACTCTACCACTTTGAGTCACAGCTCCACTTCTGGTTTCTGGGTAGTTAATTGGAGATAAGTATCTCATGGACTTTCCTGCCCACGCTGCCTTTGAACTGTGGTCCTCAGATCCTCAGATCCTCAAATGCTAGAATTATAGGCATGAACCCCCAGTACCTGGTTTCCACATAGTTTAAAGGAGTCTGTGATATCTGTTTTTCACAATCTCAAAAATATGCAAAAACATAAAAACATATAAAAATTGCATTTACTCTTTATTTCATTTTCCTGATAACACCTTGCTAAATTATCATACAATATCAAATCAGGATATAAACAGTGGCACAGTCAATTTAGAATGTGTATATCGCATATGCACACACCAGTCTTGGGTGGGGCTTGAACTTGGCCTTATGTATTTGCTTGCCTTTTTGGCTCAAGGCTGGCACTCTACCACTTGAGCTATACTTTCCACTTTTTGCTAGTTAGTTGAGGATAAGACTCTTGGATTTGTCTGTTCCAGTTGGCTTTGAACTTTGAACCTTAGATTAATTCCTGAGTAGTTAGGATTACAGGTGTGAGCCACTAGCACCTGGCTCAAAACATTTCTATAATAAAGATTTCTCACATTGCCCTTTCAATAGACATACCTATTTCCTTTCTAATTGACCCTTGACCCTTTTAATCTATAATCTTGTTCTCCACTTAAGACAGAATTCTCCTGTGAATATTTTCAGATGAACAAATTGTTAAAATTCTTTTTTAAACTAGCACACATTAGTTACAAAAGGATGGTTTCTTTGTGACATTTCTACACATGCATGCAATATATCCCAACATACTTCTATAAATCTCTCATCTCCTTCCCCCTGCTTAAAACAATTTCAGCAGGTTCCTTCATTCTTTTTTTTTTTTTCCAGTCCTGGGGCTTGAATTCAGGGCTTGGGCATTTGTCTCTGAGCTGCTTTTGCTCAAAAATAGCACTCTACCACTTGAGCCACAGCATCACAGCTGGCTCTTTTTGTTTATGTGGTGCTGAGGAATGGAACCTAGGGCTTCAAGCATGCAAAGCAAGCACTCTACCACTAAGCCATATTCCTAGCCCTCATTCTATTTTCATACATACCTTCTTTCTTCGCCTTCCCACTCCTGCTGGTATTCCCTCTGCTCATTCAAACATGCTTTATGCTCCTGTTGTTCCTTCTTTTTTCCTTCTAAGTGTGTATTACTTGCACTAAAAGGTTTCAATATAGCATTTCAGACCTGTATATCTTACATTTTCCTCAGAATAACCCTCTCTATTGCTTTCCCTTCCCCTTCTCTCCCCATCCCTTGTAGATCAACAGCTCTCATTGAGGTTCCTTATGCCATCTTAAAATTGTTTAAAATACTTTAGTGTACAGAAAAAAAAATTCACTCTTCATAGCTGCCAGGAATAGGAGACATTACACCATCTCTTTCTGATATTCTATCTGTAAATAAAGATAATTTGATTTTTAGGCCACACTATGGAAATTCATTCACTGGCATTAAAAAAACAAAACAAAGCCAGGCACTGGTAACTCTTATTGTAATCCAAGCTACTCAGGAGACTGAGATCTGAGGATCACTGTTCAAAGCCAGCCCAGGCAAGAAAGTCCATGAGACTCTTATTTTCAATTAACCACCCCAAAACCAGAAGTGGACTTATGGCTGAAAGTGGTAGAGTGCTAACCTTAAGCAAGGTAGTACCCAGCCCTGAATTCAAGCCTCATTACTGGGAGAAAAAACATATAACAAGCTGGGCAGCAGTGGCTCATGCCTATATACCTAGCTACTCAGGAGGCTAAGATCTAAGAGTTATACTTTGAAGCCAGCCTGAGCAGGAAAGTTCATGAAACTTGTGTGTGTGTGTGTGTGTGTGTGTGTGTGTG